ATATGGCCAACCGCAGTTCAAGTCCCAGACCCGTTGGCTTGAAACTTATGCTGGGTGTGTGTGTGAGCTCATGCCCAAGATCTCAGGAGGGGAATAGAGATGGGATTGTCACATGGCCATGCCCCCTGGAGGATGATTTCTCATTTTCCCTCTCACTGTTCCTCTCTCTGGTGAGTGCCCTAAGGCAAAAACCTCTTTTTAAAAAAAGTGTATTTTGGGGGCCAGCAGGTGGCGTGGTGGTTAAGGGTGCTGGACTCCCACGTGACCAACTGCGGTTCAGGTCCCGAACCTGACAGCTTGTTTTCTCACTTTCTCTCTTTCTCTCTCACTCTGTCCCTCACTGGTCAAATTAAGTAAATAAATAAAGTTAAATAAAATAATTCTTTTTTTAAAAGAAAAGTGTATTTTAAAATTTTTGTATGAGTGAAAGAGAGAGACAGCACCCCAACAGCGTCCTGATGCTGCAATCCACCCCCAGCTTTAGCCAGCCCTGGATCGTGGGCACACGTATGCCTGGCGTACTCAACACGGTCTCTAGACTCGAACTGGGAACCTTCCATTCTGTAAGGGATTGCCTTACAGAATGTTAATTTTTTTTTTAACTCTTTTTTTTTTTTTTTGGAGAGATTTTTGCTATAGGGCGCATGCGCTTGCCAGACAGACAGAGACAGAGAGATAGAAAGCGAGAAATCACCTCCCAGGGGGAATGGTCACACCACAATCCCTTCTCCTCCATTCTCCTCTTGGGATCTTGGGCACGCACGCACACGCGCCCGGCATGAGTTTTAAGCCACCGGGTCCAGGACGTGAACCACAGTCGACTACGTGGGAGTCCAGCGACATAGCCATTATGCTAACTGCTGGTTCCCCTTAACTCTTGTACCACCATCCCCTCAATCCCCAATTTTTGTTTTTCCCTGGGGCCCTCACATTATGTGGCCAGTCTGATCAAGGAACAGGAAAAAGTAGGACAGGAGTGAGAGAGTCAGTGGAAAGGGAAGCACGGGCCAGCTCATCTAGGAGGACCTCGAAGACTGTAAGGAGCCGGAGTCCAGTCTACACACGAGGGACGTCTCTGACAGATTTAGAGAAGAGAAGCAATATGATCCTATTCACATTTGTCAGAGATCCATCACTGCCTGTGTGTGGATTATAAGGAGCATGAATGAAAGAAGGGAGACCAGATAAGAGGCTTTGCAGTCATTTTCATAGGAGATGAAAGATGGTGGTGACTGGACTAAGACAGTTGCCTTACAAAATGAGAGAAGACAAACTTACCACATTTTGAGGATGACTTGACAAGAAGATAACAGATTAAATTTTAGGGAGGGATCAGCAGGTTGTATGGTGACTAAGGCACTAGACTCCCACATGGCCAATTGCAGTTCGTGTCCCAGACCTGGTGGCTTGAAAATCACACCAGGTACATGTGTGTGCATGTCCAAAATCCCAGGAGAAGAATGGAGAAGGGACTGTAGTGTGGTCATGCCCCGTAGGGGATGATTTCTCACTTTCCCTCTCATGGTCTCTGTCTCTACCTGGTGAGCACATGAGCCATGGCAAAAACCTATTAAATAAATAAATAAGGGACCAGCAGGTGGCATGGTGGTTAAGGTGCTGGACACTCCCACATGGCTGACCACAGTTCAAGTCCCGGACCTGGCGGCTTACTTTCTCGCTTTTCTCTCTCTCTCTCTCTCTCTGCTCAAATTAAAATAAATGAATGAATAAATACAATTAAATAAAAAATAACTCTTAAAAAGAAATAAATATTAGGGGTGAGAAAAAGTGTGAAATCAAGAATGGCTTCCAGGCCAGCAGGTGGCATGGAGGTTAAAGCACTGGATTCCACGTGGAATCTATGATTAATTATTAATACATTTATAATTAATTATCAATACATTAATATGCATTGATGTATTAAAACATTATTATAATTGTATTTATAATAACACGCACATGCACTGGCATAGTTTCCAAGCTTCTGGGTCCAGGACTTAAACCACAGATTTGACCATGTGAGAGCTAGTCACCTTTACCACCATACCACCTGCGGGCCTGAGTTTAATTCTTTTAAAACAAAATAATGATCTTACTTTCCGTATCAGCTAGGACAGAGTAACTGATATTCAATGTGCCCTCATGAGATAAAATGATGATACTTAACAGTTGTAAGGCATTGTACTGCATTGGCCTATAGTTTAGAAATCTCTGTGGGGAAATCCTTAGTCAAAATTTGGGCTGGGCATATACAAAATGCAGCCTATTAGAGTCAAGAGAAAAAGAGGCATCTGTGATTGAGCAGTACTGCGAGTCGTCGGTGTCCCAGCCCAGCCAGGGTGACTGGGTCTTGGAACTGAATGAGAGGAGACCCGGGTTCCACCAGATGGAACCCTGAGGGTGATCTCATTAACATCTTGTCATTCCGCTGAAGCACAACAAAGGCCAAGTTATAGAGGACTTTGATAAACTCCTTGGTATTTCCACTGATTCCAACAAAAATAACTAAAACCATGTCTTAAATGTTCATTTTTTTTAAAGCAGCATTTTATACATTGTAAGTCTGAAATGTCTTTGAGTTTAAGTGGAGATAAAAGACAGTCAGGGGGTCAGCAGGTGCATGTGGTTGGGGTGCTGGACCTCCACGTGGCCTACCATGGTTTGAGTACTAGATCAAGTGACTGACTGTCTCTCTTTCTAGCTCTTTCTGACTCTCCCTGGTGAGCACGTGTGCCTACAGCAAATGAAAAATAGTAATAATAAATAAAATTAAATAAATAATTTTTTTTTCTTTCTTTTTTTTTTTTTTTTGATAGGTTTTTGCTGTAGGGCACATGCGCTCGCCAGAAAGCCATAGAGAGACAGAGAGACAGAAAGCGAGAAATCACCCCCCCAGGAGGGATGACCATGCCGCAATCCCTTCTCCTCCATTGTCCTCTCGGGATCTTGGGCACGCACGCACATGTACCCGGCGTGAGTTTAAGCCACCAGGTCTGGGACTCGAACCACAGTCGACTACATGGGAGTCCAGCGACATAGCCATTACACTAACTGCTGGTCCCTCTTTTTTAAAGTTTTAAATAAGTTTAAATAAAGTTTTAAAAAAGAATTATTTGATTTTATTTATTTTTACATTTTTGACCAGAGAGGGACAGAACGAGGATGAGAGCGAGAGAGAGTGAGAAAGCAAGCCACCAGTTCCAGGACTCAAACTACAGTCAACCATGCAGGAGTCCAGCACCCTTAACCACCATGCCACCTGCTGGCCCTAAAATAAATGATTCTTAGAAAAGATTAATACAGGGCCAACCTGGGGTGTGGTGATTGAGGTGCTAGACTTCTATATGGCTGACCAAAGTTCAAGTCCTAGACCTGATAGCCTGCTTTCTCACTTTCTCTCTGGTCAAATTAAGTAATAATAAATAAAATTAAATAAATGATTATTTAAAAAAAATAATTTGAAAAAATAAAATCATACTGGGCATATGTGCATGTGTGGCCAACATCCCAAGAGGAGAATGAAAGAGAGGGGACTATAGAGTAGCCATCTCCCTCTGGGAGGTGATTTCTCACTTTCCCTCTCTCTCTCTGTCTCTGGCTAGAGTACTTGCCTTATAACAAACTAAAAAATAAAAATAAAAAAGTTGGGCCTGCAAGTGGTGTGGTTGTTAAAAGCACTGGATTCCCACATGGCCAAGTGCAGTTTGAGTCCTGGACCTGGTGACTTGCTTTCTCACTGTCCATCTCTGTCTCTCTCTCACTCTGTCCCTCTCTGGTCAAATTAAAATAAACAAAGTTAAATAAAATCATTCTTTAAAAATAATAACAAATGGGGGACCAGCAGGTGGTGTGGTGGTTGAAGCGCTGGACATTCCCATATGGCCAACCATGGTTCAAGTCCTGCACCTGATGGCTTGCTTTCTCATTTTCTTTCTCTTTCTGTGTCTCTCTGGTCAAAATAAAATAAGTCAATGAAATAAATAAAATTAAAAAATAATAATAACAAATGGAATTAAATAAATAATTTTTTAAAATTTTAACCTATCTGGGGTTTGTAAGATAAAACTTTTTATGTTGTTCCATATGGAAAGCCTGCTATGCCAAACAATGTTTTTTCTTTTCTCACTTAACTAAGCACCTGCTATGTTATATATTAGAATTTCATGTGTAGCAGTACTTATTTCCGGATTCTCTATCCTGTTCTTCTGATTGATTTGTCCATTCTCACGTTGATACTATATCTATCTAATTAGGAGAGCTCATGACTTGTTCTGATACCTGGTAGACAAGTTCTTCCTCAAACTCTTTTTTTTTTATATACTTTTCCTGTCATTCATTGTCATACATAAAGCTAAGATTATTTTAGTCAATTCAAAACACAAATTAATTAATGAATGCATGCTGAGAATGGTTTGGGAAATGGATCAAAAGGGCATTTCATAAGGTGGCACAGCAAGGACAAAGATTTGGCAGGGGAGAGAAACAATGCTGGCCCAGAAACTGGAATTTGGTGGGGCGCTGCCTTAGTAAAGTGCCAAAGAAGAGTTAGAATAGAGAGAGGATTAGAGGGAAGGTTGTTCACTGTATCCTGTTTGGGCCTTGGGGACTGAAAGATCCCACTTGGGACAGTCGTGTTCCTTCTTGCCCTGAGGGTTCCGGTCTGACCCTAAATTGACAGCGGAGCCCATGGCAGCAATGGGAATGCGTGTGCTGACACCTACCGACCTTCGGAGGCAAGGCAGCCACTTGGCGCCTCCTCGCTCACTCCAGGGAGATGAATGACCCACAGTTTCCAGACCCGTGTTCTCTCTTTCAGCAGTTCTCTAACTTGGGGAGGAAGTCCTGGGGGCCATTTGGGGTTTGATGCAGCAGTGCTGGGACAGGGGGTCTTAATCTCTACTGCTAAGTGCTTGATCAGACACCAGAAAATTCTTGAAATCTACTGAACCCAAATCTTGCCCATCCTGGCCACACTCTGAGATTTGCTTGGATTTAGAGCCATGGGTGGGGATATTCCCAGCTTCCCTGAGCTTATCATCTACTCTGAGAGACAGTAAGTAAATCCCAGGCTATTTGATAAATAAACTCTAAAGACATCCCAAGATGCTGCCACTGCATGGGAGCTAACAGGTTCCAGTTCTGGGATAGGAAAGCTGGACCGGCAGGTTCGGAAAGGGCTGGTTGAAGAGGTGAAATCTGAGGCAGCCCTTGGAGAATGGCTCCAGTCTTGATCAACAGGGAAGGGAGAACATACAACAAGCAGAGGGAATGAGGGGGATGCTAGAACTTCCATTTCCAGTAATGACAAGTGAGGCTATTAAGACCAACCTTTCTACTGCATACAGTGTAAATGCTGAATTAAAGCTTTTTTTCTTTTCTTTTAAAAATTTGCCAGAGGGCATATGTGCTTGCTGAAGAATCAGAGAGAGAGAGAAAGAACCCCCTATGAGGGATAGTCACACTGCAATCCCTTCTCTTCTATTTCTCCCTCATTTTGGAATTTGGGGCAGGCACACACATGTACCTGGTGTGTTTTAAGCCACCAGGTCTGGGACTCAAATCACATAGTCAGTCATGTGTAATCTACCTGCCTTAATCACCACACTACCAGCTGGCTCATAAAGGATTTTAAATCTCTTTAGTAATATTACAGATATTAGGGGCCGGCAGGTGGCATGGTGGCTGGGGATACTGGATTCTCACATGGCCTACTGTGGTTCTAGTCCTGGACCTGGTGGCTTGCTTTATCATTTTCCTTCTCTCTCTCTCACACTTTGTCCCTCTCTGGTCAAATTTAAATAAATAAATAAATAAATAAATAAATAAATAAATAAGAAAGGATAAATCTGTTTTAAAAATAGTATTACAGATATTTAACAAGAGATTCATTTTTTTTTTAATGGAAAGGATTTTGGCATAGGGTGTGTGTTCGCCAGAAAGACAGAGAGAGACAGAGACAGAAAGTGAGAAATCACCCTCCCAGGGAGGATGACCACGCTGCAATCCTTTCTCCTCCATTCTCTTCTCGGGATCTTGGGCATGCACACGTACACGCACCTGGAGTGAGTTTAAGCCACCGAGTCCAGGACTCGAACTGCAGTTGACTACATGGGAGTTCAGTGACATGGCCATTACGCCAACTGCTGGTTCAGGGAGATAAATTTTTAGACCAAAGCCTAATTCCAGAGGATATGCCTAGTGTTTCTGTCAAGCCATGGGACTAGGATCAAACCACAAGTGTCTATGTAGGATTTGTCTCTCTCTCTCTCTTTCTCTCTCTCTCTTTTTAAAATAATTATCTAACTGTATTTATTATTATTATTTTCCAGTTTGATCAGAGAGAGAAAGTGAGAAAGCAAACCACCAGGTCTGAGACTCCCAACCTTATGGGAGTCTAACGCCTTTAAACACCATGCCACCTGCTGGCCCCAGGATTTGGCTCTCTTAACTGCTAGGCTATGGGGCCAGCCTCTGTTGACTTTTTTTTTAAGTTTATTTTTTTTAATTTACCTACCCCAGTCTCAGCTGGCCTAGGTCATGATCATGCACACACATTGGGCCTGCTCAGGAAGGTCCCAGGACACGAACTCACCTTTCCCACGTGTATCTAGTTCCTTCACTGGTGGATCACCACCTGATCCCCACAATGGGCTGATAGTAAGTAAAGAGTATCCTCAATGACATGGGTGAGCCTCATCCAATCAGTTGAAAGGTCTTAAGAATAAAATTGCAGTTTCTTGCTATAGAAAAAAATTCTGCCCCAAGAATGCAGCACCAGCCGCTAAGAGTTTCCAGCCACGGTCTACCCTGTTGATTTCACACTTGCCAGCCCCTGCTATCATGCATGCGCCCTATAGCTAAAAATCTCTCCAAAAAAAAAATTGTTGTTTATTTAATTTTATTCATTATTATTGTTTTAATTTGGTCAGAGGGAGTGAGAGACACACACAAAAAGAGGGAGAGAGCGGGGAAATAAGAAAGCAAGTCACTGGGTCCAAGACTCAAACTACAATCAGCCATGTGGCAGTCCAGCACCTCAACCACCATGCCATCTGCCGGCCCCCATGCCAGGTACTGTTGTATGCGTGCCCAAAATCCCGAGAGAAGAATGGAGAAGGGATTGCAGTATGGCCATTCCTTTTGGGAGGTGATTTCTCACATTCCCTCTCACAGTCGTTCTGCCTCTCTCAAGTGAATACACATGCCCTATGGCAAAAAAAAAAAGCTTAAATAATACATTTATTTTTCTATTGTTAATTAGTCTCTTGTTATAGGGTGCCAGTCATGAGTCTTGTGACAGCTGAGGAACACATCACTTTTTCTCTCCTACATGCACAACAAATCAATAAATGTTAACCTTGGTTTAAAAAGAAAAAATTGGATGATTAGAGAATTAGAAGCCAGGACCAGCAGTTGACGTAATGGCTATGTCGCTGGCACCAGAAAGACAGAGAGAGACCGAGAGACAGAAAGTGAGAAATCACCCCCCACACCGCAATCCCTTCTCCTCTGTTCTCATCTCGGGATTATGGACACACAGGCACATGCACCCGGTGCAAGTTTAAGCCATTGGGTCCAGGACTAGAACCGCAGTCTCTACATAGGAGTCCAGTGACAAAGCCATTACAACTGCTGGTCCCCACCCAGCATGAGTTTTAAGCCACTAAGTCTGGTACTTGAACCGTGGTTGACTATGTGGGAGTCCAGCAATGCATTCACTAGGCCATCTGCTGGTCCTAGTGTAACAAATCTTTTAAAAATATTAAACACATTGACACTTTCAGTTGATAACAACATCATAAGGAAAAAGAACTGGAATGAAATAAAATTTAAGCTTGTAACTAACCACTCTGGAATTATTTAAGACAAACTCTCGATGATTAGGAAAAAAACTTAAAAAAAAAAAAAAAACTCTCAATAGAGAGAGAGAGAGAATTAGAAGCCATATATCATGTAAGGGGAAAAATGGTCTTGATTATTTCAGAGAGACGGTAAGGCGGCATTTCCGTACCCACACTGGAACCAGACTGTCCAGTTTACGCTGGCTCTTCCCTCTCTTACCTGTGTCACACTAGGCAAGAGACTTAAACCACTTTCTGTCTGTTATAAGAATAGCGTTAGGGACCAGCAGTTGGCATAATGGCTATGTCGCTGGACTCCCATGTAGTTGATCGCGGTTCGAGTCCCAGGTCCAGTGGCTTAAACTCACACTGGGTGTGGGTGATTGTGTGCCCAAGATCCTGAGAGAGAATAGAGGAGAAGGGATTGCGGTGTGGCCATCTTCCCTGGGGGGTGATTTCTCACTTTCTATCTCTGTCTCTCTCTGTCTTTCTGGCGAGTGCACGTACCCTATAGCAAAAACCTCTCCAAAAAAGAAAAGAATGTTAGCTGCCATCATTTACTTGCCTCTAACCCGCAGTCCAAACACCACAAACTCCAAAGGATTTTGAGGTGAGATCATTTGAATATATTATAGTACACCAACTGTGAGCAAATGATGAACCAATAGGCAATTGCACTTCAGGCGTTGCTTATTTTAAATCTCCTACACTCTTGCTAAGGGACTCTGGCTGTGTGATGGCCCCGGAAGTGTCTAGGAAATGGGAAGGCCCACATCTGGCACAGAGCTTTCCCTGCACAGAATTTTGTCTCCGACTCCCCAAAACTCTAGGGCGATGCTTGCGCCTGCCCTGGGGCCTCCAGGTCCAGCAGAGGGCGCTATAGCCTCAGAATGCAATCCTCAGCTGGTCTTTCTCCACTGGGTACGGGCCAGGGGCGGAGGGTCTGACTCCAATCAGACCCTTTGTCTCAGCTAGCCCTTTTCTCCAAGCATTCAGCAAACCACATCACCATTGCTGGTTCATTTTCCAAACCTCGCCCTGTTCTGCAAAGCATTTGCCGAAGGGCTCGGCTCTCTAGACCTCCCTTCCTTGAACCCCAGAAGCTTCATTTCAACAATGAATCATCCCCGCCTTACGGGCTCTGTTACTGTTTCCAAATTCCATGGCAGCACAGCTGTAAACCTACTTCTCACTCTCCAAAGAGCCTTCTGCCAGCCACCCACAGCCTTCTGAACTTCTTCAGTCTTGCTCCAACTGCTCCAGAAAAAAGTCACTCACTTCACCAGGTTTATTTCTACCCTAAGTTGCTGGAGGGAAAGGCCTATGCTGTTTCTTTCCGTCAGTCTTTCAGTGAACAATTGTTTGGTGCTAAGGTTAGCATCAAGCAGGGAAGACAGCCAGCCTTTATGGAATACCTACTGTGTGTCAGTTCTAAGTGCATCGTTCTAAGCACTTTCCATAATTCTCCCAATAACTCTGTCAGGGCAGTTAGGCCCATTTTACAGATGAGACCGTTTGGGCACAGAGTGGTTAAGAAACCACAGATGGGGTCAGCTGGCGGCATGATGGTTAAGGGATCTGGAGCCCACATGGCTAACTGTGCAGTTCAGGTCCCGGATCAGGTGGCTTGAAGAACATGCTGGATGCATGTGCATGCGTGCCCTAAATCCTGAGAAAGAGGAATGGAGGGAAAAAGGTTTGCAATGTGGCCATCCCCCCTGGGGTGATTTCTCATTTCCCCCCTCTATCTCTGTATCTGTCTCTTTCTGGTGAGTGTGTGTGCCCTATAGCAAGTTTTAAAACAAGGGAGAGATGGGCCAGCACATAGTATGGTGGCTAAGCCACTGAACCCCACAGACTCGGCAGTTTGAGTCCCAGAACAGGCAGTTTGAACGCTGAACATGTGTGGATGTGTGCTCAAAATCCTGAGGGAAGAATAGAGGAAAAGGGATTGCGGCTTCGGTATCCTACCAAGAAGGTGATTTCTCACCTTCTCTTTCTCTCTATCTCTCTCCAGCGAGTACATAAGCCCTGTGGCAAAGTATCTACAAAAGAGAGAGAAAGAGAGGCCACAGGGAGCCAGCAGGTGGTGTGGTGGTTAAGGCTACTGGACTCCCACATGGCTGACCACAGTTCGAGTCCGAGACCTAGCAGCTTACATTCTCACTTTCCTTCTCTCTGTCTCTCTCTGATCAACTTTATTAAAAATAAT